GTTTTTTTTTTTTTTTTTTTTTTTTTTTTTTTTTTTTTTTTTTTTTTTTATATATATATATATTCTGGATATTAGCCCTCTGTAGGATGTATATCTTTTCCTAGCCTGTAGGCTATCATTTTGTTCTGACAGTGTCCTTTGCTTTACAGAAGATTTCCAGTCATGAGGTCTCTTTTATTAATTGTTTATCTTACAACCTGAGCACTTGCTGTTCTACTCAGGAAGTTGTCTCCTGTGCCAATGTGTTCAAGGCTCTTTCTTACCCACTTTTTCATCTAATAGATTTACTGAGTCTGTGTTTTTTAATTATTTTTTTCTATAAATTATAGTTTATTCACTTTGTATCCCAGCTGTAGCCCCCTCCTTCATTCCCTCATAATCTCACCCTCCCTCTCTCATCTCCTCCCTGCCCCTCTCTAAGTCCACTGGTAGGAGAGATCCTCCACCCCTTCCATCTACCCTAGTTTATCAGGTCTTAAAGGACTGGCTGCCATGTCCCCTCTGTGGCTTGGTAAGGTTGCTCCCCCATCCAGGGGAGGCAGTTAAAAAGCTAGCGACTGAATTCAAGTCAAAGACAGTCCCTGTTCCCCTTACTAGGGTATGCACTTGGATACTGAGTTGCCGTGGGCTACATCTGAGCAGGGTTCTAGGTTATAGCATGGAGTCTGGTTTTATGTTGAGGTTTGTGACCCACTTGGACTTTACTTTTGGGCAGTGTGATAAGTATGAAACTATTAGCATTTTACTGCATTTAAACATCCAATTAGACCAGCACCATTTATGGAAGACTTTTCTTCTTATTATATGGTCTTGTATTCTTTATCAAAAATCAGGTGTCCATAGGTGTGTGGTTTTATTTCTTGGTTTTCAATTCAATTCTTTTGAGCCACCAGACTGTTTGTATGCCAATACCGTTACATTTTTATTACTTCTGCTCCATAGTACAACTTGTAGTCAAGGATGGAGATACCTCCAGAAGTTCTTTTATTGTTCGGGATGGTTTTAGTTATTCTTGGTTTTTGTTTGCTTGTTTGTTTGTTTGTTTGTTTGTTTGTTTTTCCATATGAATTTGAGAGTTGTAATTTCAAAGTCTGTGAAAGAATTGTGTTGGTTTTTTTGATGGGAATTGCATTGAATCAGTTGATTGCTTTTGGTAGGATGGCTATTTTCACTTTGTTAATCCTACCAATCCACGATGATGGGAGATCTTTCATCTTCTGATATTGTCTTCAATTTCTTTCTTCAGAGACTTGAAATTTTTTTCATACACTCTTTTTCTTGATTGGTGAAAGTGATTTCATGGGACTTTATGTTAATTTTGATTACTGTAAATGGTTTTATTTCTTTAATTTCATTCTCAGTCTTTTTGTCTTTTGTATACAGAAGAGATACTGAGGGTTTTGTTGTTGTTATTAATTCTGTATCTAGCTATTTTGCTGCAATAGTTTTCTGGTAGAAAGTTTTGGGGTCACTCATGTATGCTATCATATTGGCTGCAAATAATGAGACTTTGTCTACATCCTTTCTAATTTGAATCCCCTTTATCACCTTTAGTTGTCTTATTGCTCTAGCTAGAATCTCCCTTACTTTGTTGAAGAGATATTGAGAGAGTAGGTAGCCTTGCCTTGTCCCTTATTTCACTGTGATTTATTTAATTTTCTCTCCTTTTAGTGTGATGTTGGCTATAGGCTTGCTGTATATTGTCTTTATTGTGTTTAAGTATGTGCTTTGTATCCCTGATCTCTCCAAAACTTTAAACATGAATGAGTGTTGGATTTTTTTTTCTTTTTTTTTTTAATTTTATTTTTCTTTTTAGTTACATCTTGTTAACTCTGTGTCCCAGCTGTATCCCGCTCCCTCATTCCCTCCCCAACCGCACACTCTCTCCCTGGTCTCCTCCTGCCCCTTTCCAAGTCCACTGATAGGGGAGGACCACCTCCCCTTTCATTTGACCCTGTTTTATCAGGTATCTTCAGGGCTGGTTGCAAAGTCCTCCTCTGTGGCCTAACAGGACTGCTCCTCCCGTGGAGGGGGGGGTCAAAGAGCCTGCCCTTGAGATCCTGTTAGAAATAGTCCTTGTTCCCCTTACTTTGGAAAACTACTTGGTTACTGAGCTACCACGGGCCACATCTGAGCAGAAGTTCTAGGTTATATCCATAGATGGTCCTTGGTTGAGTGTCAGTCTCAGAAAAGACCCTGTGCCCGAATATATTTGGTCCTTGTAGAGCTCCTATCCTTTCCATATCATACTAACTCCCTTTCTTTCATACGATTCCCCACACTCTGCCGAGGGTTTAGTTATGAGTCTTAGTGTCTGCTTTGAAACACTGCTAGGTAGAGTCTTTCAGATGCCTTTTGTGGTAGACTCCTGTCATAAGTTCAATGCACATCCCATTTGTCTTTCTAAATGAGGATTGATCATCTTCGCCTCTGTCCACTTTCTTGATTATCTTCTTTAGGTGTATAGATTTCATTATGTTTATCACAATGATTTTTCAATAACTAAGGACATGATCATGTGTTATTTTTGTTGTTGTTTTAGTTTGTTTATATGGTGGATTACATTGATGGATTTCTGTATATTGAACTACCCCTGCATGCATGGGTTGGCGCCTACTTGGTCAAGGGGGATGATATCATTGATGTGTTTTGGGATTCAGTTTTTAAGCATTTTATTGAGTATTTTTGTGTCAAAGTTCATAAGAGATTGGTTTGAGATTGTCTTTCTTTTTAGGGTGTTTGTGTGGTTTAGGTATCAAGCTGACTGTGGCCTCATAGAATGAGTTTGGCAATGTTTCTTTTGTGAAATAGTTTGAAGAGAATTGGAGTTAGCTCTTCTTTTAAGGTCTAGTAGAATTCTGTACTGAAACCATTTGGCCCTATGCTTCTTTTAGAAGATAAAATTTTGATGAGAGCTTCCATGTCCTTAGGGAATATAGGACTACTTTATTTATTTCCTGATTATGATTTAACTTTGGTAAATTGAATCTATCAAGAAATTTGTCCATTTCATTTAGATTTTCAAATTTTGTTGCACATAGGCTTTTGAAGTAGTACCTAATGATTCTTTGGATTTCCTCATTGTTTATTGTCATGTCTATACTTGTTTTCTTTTTTTTTTTTTTCTTTTCTGATTTTGTTGATCTGGATAGTGTCTTTTTATGTTTTAGTTAGCCTACTAGTGGCTTTTCTATCTTGTTAATTTTCTTAAAGCAACATTTCTTGGTTTTGTTGATTCTTTGAATTGTTCTGTTTCTTACAAATTTATTTATTTCAGCTATCAATTTGATTATTTCCAGCCCTCTGCTCCTCTGTGGTGTTTCTTTTTCTTCTCCTCCTCCTTCTTCTTCCTCTTTTTTTTTTATAGTGCATTCAGGTATGCCATTAATTTGCTTTTACGAGATGTCTTTAATTTCTTTATGAAGGCACTTAGTGCTATGAAATTTTCTCTTAGCACTGTTTTCTTTGTTTCCCATATGACTGGGTAAGTTATGCCTTCATTTTCAGTGAATTCTAGGAAGTCTTTAATGTGTTTATTTTTTTCTTCCCTGAGCCACCTGTCATTGAGTAGTGAGTTGTTCAGTTTCCATGCATGTGTAGGATTTTGCTATTTCTGTAATGTTGAGGTATAGTTTTTAGACACGGTGGTCTGATAGGATACTAGGAATTATTTCAATCTTCTTGTATCTTATGAGGTTTGCTTTGCACCTGACTATGTTGTCGATTATGGAGATGTTTCCATGAGGTGCTGAGAAGAAAGTATACTATTTTGTGTTTGTGTTAAAAATTTCTGTAGACATCTATTTTGTCCATTTGATTTAAGACCTAAGTGTTGTTATTTCTCTGTGTAGCTTCTGCTTTAGTGATCCATCCTTTGGTAAGAGCGGGAAGTTTAAGTTTCCCGCTATTAAGGTGTTGGGGTGACTGTATCACATATGTTTTACTAATGTTTCTTTGACAAATGCAGGAGCCCCAATGTTTGAAGCAGACATATTCAAGATTGTGATATCCTCCTGGTGGACTTTTTCCTTTGATGAGAATCAAGTGTCCCTCCCAATCTCTTTTAATTATTTTTGTTGAAACACTATTTTATTACATACTAGGATGGCTACTCCAACTTGCTTCTTGGGACCACTTGCTTTGAAAACCAGCCCTTTATTATGATGCAGTATCTATCTTTGTTGTAGAGGTGTGTTTCTTGAATGCAGATGAATGTTGAATCATGTATTCACAAACATTCTGTTAGTCTGTGTCTTTTTATTGGAGAGTTGAGTCCATTGATGTTTATAGATTTTATTAAAATATGAAATGTTTCAAGAATTTGTGTCTCATTCCCAAAGAGGGACCATGCTAATCTTCTCCGAATCTTTCCAACTTTAGTATATGTGCTGCCAAAGTGAGCACTAAATACCCTTTGTTGAGTCCGTATTTTGTGTCAGTAATGTTATTAATTATTTGTATACCAACATAAATTTACAGATGAAGCACTTGCTACTGGTGGAAATGTGATTAAAATTTAGACTTCATATATTTAGTTCTAAACTCTCGTGTTGTAAAGGAAACAAAAAAACAAGATTTCAATATTACCTGCTTAACATATAAGAATAAACAAGTATGTATAAACTAGAGATTCATTTAAAACAGCGATGGGTCCTTGTTTGGAAGAATAGGTAATGTGTCAGCAGCCCTGTGATCACAAAGCATTATCATAGCCATTAAAGAGACAGATAATTCAATCATGAAGTCCCAACTGTGAGAAAATCCAGTTAGTAGAAAAGACAACATTCAGTAAAATCATCATACCTTTTGTATGTTTTATCAAGAAAATCTATTGAATTCATTAACATGCATGATAGAGTGCAAGGTGCCCTAGAGAAACAATGAATGCAGTGTGACATTACTCAGGCAGCCAGAAGATACTTAGTGTGAAAGGAAAGGCAGGGATATATGATTGATTTATAAAACAGAAGAAATTGCCAGAATCCAATTATTTGACAAAATTCGGGACAAATGATGTACACGAAGAAAGCTTACATAATCATGAGTAAACTTGGCTGTATACTTTAAGAAATCATACAGCTATTCCAATACCAAACAAACAGACAAAAAAAAAAAGTTGCACACAATCAACAGAAAGAAGATGAGACAAAGAAAACAAAGTCACAGACCTTGAAGCTGTCATTCTGCTTGAGTGGCTCTTTTCAAAGTTTTGCAAACATATTGTTTCTGTACTTTTAAAGTATGATGGAATAAACAGTCTTATACTTTCACTCCACCTCAGAGGTATGTGGTGACTCTGTGTCAGCTTCATCTTTTTATTCTCTGGTCATTCAACAAATCCTTGAAGCAAGAGTGTTCAATGACTATTATTTCCACTGCACAAGTCAAGAGTCAGTAGTGGCTGAGAGGTTACAGGATTGGTGCTGCAAGAATTCTGAAAACAACTCTCCTGTATGCTGTGTGGAGCAATGATATAGCCTTTATACCATTTTTACATTCATCATTTTTTCTCATAACTCTACAATAAAATGTCTGGTGCCGGAGAACTTGACACACATCAAACTCCAATCATCTTTGTAGGACTCACAGCCACCTTAGAGAATCTAGAGTGACACAGTATAGTTCAACGCCCCTGTGCTGAAATTACTGCAGTGACAAGCCAAGCCAAGGTGAATCTTAGAGTTTTGTGTTCATTTAAACTTTGTTAATTTAGGTAGTAAAAAATTGAAAACCAACAGATGTAAAGCTGACATTTATAAATATGTATTTGTGAAACAATGCAAATTCCTTTCAAATTAACCTATGCTCTCTATGCTTTTCATAGACATTGAGCAAGAAATAGAAGCAGTAGGTGTAAGAGACAGACAAACTATGATGAAAAATATGCTGAAAGTAGAGTAGGAATACATTACACAGTCTCATAAAATAGTGCCACCATTGTCCTACAATTCATGTAATTGAGCCAGGAGGACATCCAGGGAGGAGTATGCTGATAAGGAAAGTGGGATGCTTGCATGGATTAAGAGTCTGATTATTTATTAAAACAAAACTCTTTAATGATAACTGTTATTACTGAACACTTAATATTTGCTGGCATTATTCTAAGTAAATGACAAAACTTCTTAATTCAATAGTTATGACAAAGAAATGAAATAATCATCATTACTCCCATTTACAAAGAACCTAAGTCTTCAAGGAATTTAGTAACATCATGTTAAGTAATGCAGAGCCTTAAAAAAGTTGCTTGCCCTTTCATAGGCTGATTCAGTGGAAAGGATATGTCACTATTCATATAAAGTTGATTGGAGAATTTGGATAATTTCAAGACAATGCTCCAGTCCCTCTCAGAAGCTGCGGAATCAATATCTTGGAAACAAACTTGTCATATATTGTTTGCTTATATATTATTTCCTCTTCTGGTTCATAGCATCTTTTGAAGTTATATGGTTTAGGTAAATTAGAGGATATATGTCTGTGAAAATGGAGGTCTCAGAAGCACCTGATACCAATTCTAATGATTTGATCAATCATTATAAACATGGAAGTCTCAGGTCCCCTAATTTTTTTCTTTTTCTAATATTATTGTGTAGGAAAATGTAGTTTGTAATGTCATTGGTAAATATATAAACGAAAACAATACTATCTCTGAAAAAATACAACTTTGAAACTAAGTCTATATTCTATCATATTATTATGTAAAAAGTATTTTCAAAACTGTTTATTATAAAATATTAATATTTTGTCTTATATTTTTGACGAGAACCTTCAGTACTTGTAAGTATATTTATACATCTTTTTTGAAAAGCTATTTTTTGAAAAATGACAGTGGATCACAGCTTTAAAACATTACCAATAAAGCCTAAGAATTTTCTTGAGTCAGGATCAACAATTGGAAAGCTCATTCCTACTGCCCTTTTTCCTTACAGGAGATATACTTTAGAAAATTTGTGAACAGTTTCCCTAAACTTTGGATACATATTTATTTCTATAAACTCCCCTCTAATTTACTCAGTCGGTTATTTCTCTAGGATCTGGAAGGTTTGTGTTGGAGATGTACGCATACAGGAAATAATGTCCCTGTTTTCTGCTCTGTACGAAGGCAGGAGCCTAGTTTAGAGAGGACACAGAAATGTGTGCAAGTTTTAAAATTCCCTAGTAATAAAGATAAAGAAAGTTTATTTAGTTACTTAGTATAAAGTAAAAAAAAAATAAAACAATAAATGGTAGTCAGTTTCCCCTAACCCCAGCACTTTAAACCCTAAAATTCTTTCTTTTAGAAGAGTTGAGCTTGACCTCTCTGTTCTCTTAAAGGACTTGAATCTTTGCTACCTCTTTAATTTTGCCTGGTGGAATTTTTGCTTTGGAAGTAAGTGACAATATTTCCAAGGAGACTGAATGGATGCCACTAACCAAACACACTATTTCATTAGTAAAGTGCAAAAATAATATAGTAGGCAACAGGCATCAATTTGGTGTGTAGTACAGCTTGGGAGTAACGAAGTACAATAACGGAAAAAAGGGGGCTTTGGAGGCAAGAGTCCAAGAATTCTAATCATTCTGTTAAACCAAAAGTTGAAGTATGCTACAAGTTTGTAGCTCTGAAGGCAATCTCAAAATCTGCTGAATGTTGTCAGTGGAAATGAAGGAATGTTATTAATGATAAAAATACACAATTGAGTAACTGGGTATACTATAAACAGTGATAGAATGGACCATACACATAATTAAATTATTTCAGCTACTGATTATATGGAATTAATAAATATTATATGAACTTCCCAGCTTTGCAATAGGATTTGGGGACTGCAAATTTTACAGAAGAGAAATCAAGCCTAGCCTAACTTCTCTTTTCTGTCATAATTTCTTAATCTCACTGTTGATCTATAAAGTGATTTTGCACAATGAATCTTATTACTAAGCTATTTTGATGATTGTTTCTATCAAAATATAAAGTTAAATGTTCATATTAACTGAAGGAAACTATGAAAATATATTATCATAGAAGCTGTGATTAGCAGTGATTCCTGATGACATGTTATTGCTTCTTCAGAGAAACTTCTCCTTGTCTTATATATTGATTAACACAGAGACCCACTACTGGGTGATGTGAAGAATTTGAGAAACCTTGGAACCTTTGGCATTAATTGGGATATCTTTATCAAACCCTGCACCTCTAATCTCACTGATATATGTGGAAGAGGAGGCAGAAAGCTTGTAAGAGCCAGACATAGTGGATGGCACCAAGGGAACAATATCTTCCAGATACCAGAGGACTCAAAGAGATATGAACTCACAGAGACTGTGGCAGTACACTCAAGTCCTGTGTAGGTCCAGAACTAACACAATACCAACACAGAGAAGGGAACATAGATACAAAGGCCCAATGTTTCCAAAAAGCTATTTGTAATAAATACCACCTAGAAAAGGAAAAATAATTAATGTTCTCCAGTGGAGTGTCAAAGTGCATAATAATCACTGTCCAGTGCAGGTCGGTCTCAAGCCCAGAAATGATGGACAATACAAGAGACTCCATATTTTTGGTTTGGTTTGGTTTGGTTGTTTGTTTGGTTTATTGCCTTTGTGGGGTTTTTGTTTTGTTCAGATACATTTGACTTATTATTATTATTATTATTTTTAGTTTGACTTGATTTTCTTCTTCTTCTTCTTCTTCTTCTTCTTCTTCTTCTTCTTCTTCTTTTTGTTTTCAGAAAGAGATGTACATAAAGAGTAGGTGAGGAGGTAGGGAGGATCTGGGTGGAATTAGGAAGGGAAAGAATATGACCAAAATACATTGTATGAAAAAATTAAATAAAAATTAATAATGTTTAAACAGATAAAAAATACTTTCATTAAGACCATACATATTTGTCTTTATAGACAGGCAAACTCCCTCTGTAGTATAGCAGTCAAAGAAATGCGGGGAAACAAGCTGATCGCCATAAACTTCCCGAAAAACGTAGATGGTAACTGTGGCTGCTCTCAGTGCCAAACAGCAGGACACATCCGGACCGCACTTCTGAAGTCTGCTCATAAATATTTACTACAATTGCAGAATGTTTGAAACAAAATAGGAAGCCGATCAAGTTTTTGGAAATTAACAGAAAATTGAACGAGTAAATGCACTCACATCTGGGTAAAAAGTATTTGATGTCCATTGTTTCTGAGTAATCTCACAAACTTCTGTCATTTATTTTATGTATTTTTTTTTTTTTTAGGTATGTAAAAAGACTACTTGACAAGATAAGGCCAATTGTTCCATTTAAGACCTATTTAAAGCATTTATTGTTTTTATCAGATATTTTGTTGTGGCAATAAGGTGATTAGCTAATATGCTACTTTGTAGATTTTGGGGATATTTCTGAAAGCTACATAATCTCATTCAGAAAAGTAAACTATTTTGTTTC